CTATATAGGCAAAACAGATCTCTCGCTTCGAGAAAGAGTTTAGGAATCATAGATCTAGTATCCGCACAGCGTACAGGGATATGAAGTCAGAACAACCGGTGGCGAAACATTTTTTGGACATGGGCCACACTGTACCCTCTCTTAAACTAATGGCCATTGAACACATTTTCCCCCCATCTGCAGGGGAGGTGACAGGAGCAAACTTTTGCTCCAACTGGAAATATATTGGATCAGGGCTCTAAACACTGTCCAACCACATGGACTGAATGAGAGGTACTCATTATCTGTATTCCTATAAAAGCATTTCCTGGGGTTAGAAAGTTTTGATCCAATACATTATGCATAACGTGACAGCCCACCCTGGGGGACAGGCATGTCAGAGTTGCTAGTGTATATCTCTGTACCTTTGGGAATATGCAATATTTCTTTGCTTTATTACTAGTGGTTTGTAAATATGATAGGGCATGTTGGTTATGTACACAGAATATGTCATCCAGATGCCACCCATGGGGATAGCAGCTGTGACAATATTTGTGATACATTCATCCATGGTCTCCATTATTCTTTATCATGTATTGATTTAAATAAATGATAGATTGGCTTAGATAGGCTCTCTTCAGAGTATCTGGTCAGCTTAAAAGGTCCTACCCTGGAGGATAGTGCCTACAGCTGATCCAGAAACAATTACCTTTTATTCTGATCTATGGAGCCACACAATGTGTGTGGGCAGATTGTTGTTTTCATATCAGTCCTTGGCTAAATATGACACCTAGGCATTGTACATATGTATATAATCTCAGTCTGTTTGGAAAAAATGGAGTAACTAATACACCCTTCGCAGGCACTTTGATTTTTCAATAATAGTTGTTAATATTTGCTCATTCTTTTGTGGTCTGATTTAGAGTGATACCTTGCCAATATGTAAATGGGCAATGGACACAGCACATGAGGGGGGTTAATTAGTTTCCCCATTATGTTCATACACTAGTGTCATTTCTTTAGGACACAGTTTCCTTTGCAGATGTTTTGATCCTTCAGGACTAGCTGAATATTTTTTTGCTCATTTTATATGCGGTCTGATTTAGGATTACATCCAGCTAGTATGCATAATATCCCTTTATTCATTGGTACAGAACTTTAGGGGTTTATTAGGTCCTTCCCTCATGGTCAAAGATTGTGTCATTTTCTTTAGCTACAGTTCATATGAGCAAATATAAATGTGATATATGTATGTCTCTCTGCAACTCAAGAGGCATAGAATATTAATGTTCCGACTTATGGAACATCTTCATTACATTGTGGATAATTTTGTATTATGGTAGTCTTTGACTTCATTTCATTATGCAGTTACTATTTTTAAATATTATCTGTGTATTCCTTAGATTTATACATGGTTTTCTTGATCCTGCTCGAAAGGTGCCCGCCCAGCTCAGTAATTTGTTTTTAGATAGGTGGTTCCCAGAGTCATGTCTGTAGAGTATTTAACTGTGTACCCTTTGTTTTCTCCATTTTCATTATGTTTGGTTACATACAATTGTGAGCTTTATGCCTAAAAATGCTTAAAGATGTAGAAACTGACTTGTTGTCTGGTTTACATGGAGATGACCTCTGATGACATCATGACGCCGGACACACAGCGATGACATAATCAGGGTCAATTACCAACCTGTGCAAGCTCCGGTTCAGGCGGCTCAGATGGAATCCCTGCACTAATGGGGCAAGAATAATATGGTAGTGGGTATATGAGATTATCTTTTATAGCACTAGCTCATCCTTATTACTTGGAAGTCCTTGGAGTGCTATCGACACTACATTGCATATATATATTGCATATATAATTTTATACATAGCTATAGATATACATATATGTATTTATAATGTCATTCTAAATGTATTTTGATTTTTATATATATATATATATATATATATATATATATATTAATATCAAAATATAGTTAGAATGAAATTACACATTTATCTATTTTTTAAATATTTTTTCATTTTGTTTTAAATGTATTTATTGATTATTTTTCATATATATAATTAACGTCATTCTTAGTTTATTTTATATATATATATAGATATATATATATATATATATATATATATATATCTATATATATATATATATATTTATATATTAATATTAAAATACACTTATATTTTATGTATGAGTATGTGAATATAAAAGTATTTATATATATACATATGTGTGTGTGTGATCTATGTACTTTTATAACTTTTATAAAGTGTTTTAAAACCTTATGTTAACTTTTTTACAGGCTCTAGGGGGACAACCTGAAAGCTAAGGCAGTCCCCCTGCCGGCACTGCACAAGCCAGTTATTCTTGCCATGTGATCGTGAGGTCCCTGTGGTATATATTTATTGGGAGTACAGTCTAAAACAGCTTGCAAAAGCTGCAGTTATTATGACTGAAGCCTTTGTAAGCCCTCCCCTTTTTCACAGGAAGTGACTTTCAGTCTCTTTACAAAGAATTGTCCAATAGACAATAGAGAAGCCTCTGTTCTTTTCTATTTCTCCTTCCCCAAGTCCCACCATAAGTCTCATCCCTCCTCTCCATGGGTTTAAAACCTACTCCTCTCCCTGTGTCAAAGTCCCCTCTCCCCTCCTGCTTCAAAGTCCTCCTACCCTCCTGCTTCAAAGTCCCTCATTCCCTCCTATTACAAAAGCCCCCCTACTCCTGTTTCAAAGCCCCCCCACTCCTGTTTTAAAGTCCCCCTCCCCTTCTGTATCAAAGTCCTCCCCTCCTCTCCTGTTCTAAGCCCCACCTCATTTCCTGTTTCAAAGCCCCCCTCCCATCATGTGTCAACGTCCCCCTCTCCCCTCCTGCTTCAAAGTTCCCCCTTCCCCATTGACAAAGTTCCCCCTCTTCTCCTGGGTAAAAGCCCCCTCCCCTCCTGTTTCACAGCCCCCTCCACTCATTTTCCTGAGTGAGAGTATCCCCTCCCCTCCTGTTTCACATCCTCCTCCACTCCCTTTTCTGTGTGAAAGTCACCCCTTCCCCTCCCTTGCTGACCTTTGATTTGCTGATCTGTGGGTAGATCATCTACCCGCAGATCTGGACATTAAAAGGTCAGCAGGCAGAGGAGGGGAGGGGGAGACTTTCACACAGGGAAGGGAGTGGAGGGGCTGTGAAATAGGAGGGGAGGGGGAGACTTTCACAGAGAGAAAGAAGGAAGAACTGACAGGCAGGAGGGGAGTGCTCTATTAGAACATGCCTGCTACTTCCGTTAGCTCAAGAGAAGTGTATCTATTTTCAAATATAAAAGTGCTAATTTCACAATGAAATTGGCACTTTTATAAATGGGGATTTTAAAGGGATAGTCCCTTATTCACTCTTCCCTCTTCTTGACGTTAGGAATAATATCACCTATTGAAACTTCATGTCTGTTTGAAAGCAAGGGTAATCTGTACATGAATTATATTAGTAACTAGTGGATTCTCGCATAGAAATTTATTTCTCTACAGGCTGGTAATTATAACTAGAGTACAAACGACGGAACATGATATAATAATTCTGTCGTGCACTGAAATTAACCCCAAATCACAGCAGCACTGAAGGTTAATACTTAGCATATGTGATCACCATGACAGTGAGACACAGTGCTGTAAGGACATCTGCTCCGCCTCCATCCTTCTCACTGTGTATTGTGAAGTGGAAGGAGATAGATCATAGAGTTACAGTGTATTCATGTGAAGAACAGATTGTATAAAATGTAGCAAAAACACCATTTAGCCCTCTTTCCCAGAAATTAACCCTTTCCCTTAATTTGATCACTGCATTTAGTTAAAGTATAGATTGCAGTACTTTGCTGTGTTCTGTTTTGTTGTTTGTTTGTTTTTACCCTCATGAGTTAAATTAGATTGTTTTTAACCCTTAGGGGCTTAATTTATTTATTTTGAATAGTTGCCTGATACTGCAGGCCCCACAGCAGAGAGAGCTGTTTCCCCTTGCAAAATGGCTAATCTTACTGTTTTTTTGATTGAGTAACTTAAATAATAGATCAACGTGGTGCCATAAACATTGCTTACCTAGTTTTCTGTAAGGCTTTTGACACTGTAACACATAGAAGGCTTATCAATGAACTGCAATCTTTTGGATTTTGGAGTTTGGATTCCAATATTGTTGGATGGGTTAGGCAGTGGCTGAATGACAGGCAACAAAGGTTTGTTGTCAATGGAGTATATTCAAAGTAAGGTCTTGTTACCTGTGGGGTACCTCAGGGATCTGTACTTGGAGCCAATATTTTTAATATTTTTATTAGTGATATTGCCGAAGGTCTTGAAGGTAAGGCATGTTTTATTCGTTATTTTTTTACAATGATACAAAGATTTGCAATAGGGTTAATGTTCCAGGAGGGATAAGCCAAATAGCAAATGATTTAGGTACAAATATACATACGGTGGTGGGGGGGGGGGGGCATGTCCGGCAGCCGACCAAAATGGACGTGTGAACCCGGAGCTTTTTGTGGCGCCCGCACACTCTGCACATAATCAGCCAATCTAGCTCGCCCGCACACAGAAAATGTGACGCACTAGAAAGCTAACCGACGCAGGAGGCACCATGAGACCCACGGGCCCCGGGGGTGACCAATTGATCCAATCTTACCTTTATGCCACGGCCCGCAGACAATCGCCACAACAGGAAATGGAGGCCGCAAGCC